CTCCTGATATAGTTAGTTAAGTAATTAGCAATGACTAATTAACGCAGCAGTTAAATAGAATCCCCGTCCTTCGGCGGGACATCTGTCAAAATTGGAACGATACAAATCGAGAAGATTAAGTAATTAGCCTGGCCCCTGCGCAAAGAAGGATGAGACCAGACAAATCGAGAAGTCGTCCAAAAAAAAATTAAAAAATTCCCCCTTTTCCCTCCTTTCCCCCCTTTTCCCCCTTCCCCCACTTCCGCCCCCCCCTCCCCGCCCAAGGAAACTACCACCGAAGGTTGTTGGTATGACGTGGCAATTGTTTGTGAGGGATTAGTACGAATTACTGATTTAACTGTTTCTTGAATTGGTAATTAATTAATTAATTAATTACTAGTTATGGTCGATCGATCGATTAGTTAATCGGAGGAGCAAGATACTCAGATCGAGCGAGACCAATGAAAAAACTGAAAATGAATTGTGGATTTTTCTTCGTCCAGAAAAAAAGGTCTTTCTGGAAAACAAGCTTCTGATCGGGGGGTAAAAAAGAAAAATCTTCCTGCAGTTCTCTTCAGAATGGAGGATTACTTGTTCCTGTCCTTTCTCCGCTCGTCCTGGGTAGTTTATGAGAATCCGAGTTTATATGAGAATCCCATTCGTTCTTTCCTTAACTCTCCCCTCCTTACTTCCTCCCTCCCTCCCTCCCTCCCTCCCTCCGCTCGTTCTAGTTTATGAGAATCCCATTTATATAACAGGGATGCGGTGCCTCTTGGCTGTGGAATTCATCATCTATGCCATCACCATTATCAATGTATTGCAGCCGCCGCCGCCGTCTGTGCCGAAGGGTGTCCAACATTTGCTCATTGTGCACATCCCTATCACCCAGATATTCGTTGTCCCTTCTGTGCGCAAGGACGCTATCAGGACTGCATGATGCCGCACTGTGATGAACGTCCTGCTGTTTTTTTTTTTGACATGTGGACATGTTGTCCTTTGTCAGGACTCTGTTTGATGGGGTGGTCGCGGTTCTAGCCGTCCTGCTGAATGCTGTGCTGGCGCAGCTCTCCTTGGGTATCCTTGTGAATAAACATCCACGCCATCCTCCTCAGCGTGCCTGTCCTATCTGCCGGGGTGGGGTGGGGGGCTCCTCTTCCTGACTGGTCAATAGAATCAAGCAGGTCAGGAGCAACACTAATTGTTGTAGGACAGATAAAAGTTTTCGACACTATCAACAGATACGGAGTTGAAAAAAAAGAAAGAAAAAATGGAAAAAATGGAAAAAATGGAAAAAATGGAAAAAAAAAAGAAGAAAAAATTGCTGAAGAAAAAGAGAAAAAAAGAAGAAAAAATATGTTGAACTTTGTTGTGACAGTGGCAATTGGTTTATCTGTGGGATGTCTCATTTGCTTTGTTTAACTGATAGGCCTTCCTCTTTCCTTGTCCTTTCTTTGACTGAATCCCTTTGTCTTTCTCTTGCTTCTGTGAGGTTTGGTTTCCTTTCCTCCTCCTTTTCTTTACCTCTTTGCCTTTTGGCTGCGTGCAAGTGGGTCCTTGTGACACTCGGGGATTGGGGCAGCCAGCGCTCAACCTGTCATCCACGTGGCTTGCCTTGTACGTAAGAGCTGATGAACAGGCGCAGCTTTCCTTCCTTCCTTCTTTTCCTTTCCTTGTTTTGCTTTTTTCCGCCTTCGCGCTCTGATTTACAGTGTGACTATATATATGAAACAGTTTGTCACAGCCCCTCGTTTGTTGTCCTCTTCTCCCTCTCTGCCTACGGTTTACCGGGCAGTTCTATTTGACGATATATATCTGTTTGTGACGATATATATATATGTTTTCTCTTTTTAACATTTGCTGGTTTGCTATGTCTAGAAAATAAGATCCGACGGCGCAAGGATGACACGCATACCTCGATAAATGGTCCATAATACGTAATAAAAGAAAGAATTAAAAAAAGAAAGATCTGACTGTGGAAAATCCGCAAATGCACGGAAGTGTGAAGGAGTTCTGATACACGCGTGAGGTTTTGTCACCAGCGGACGTTCTTTCTGCAATCCTCCAATCCATTGGCATCCATATCTTCTTCTTCTTCTTCTTCTTCTTCTTCTTCTTTTT